TGCTGGAAACACCTTGGTTGAGGGCGAACGTTGGAATCAGGCGGGATTTATGGGGAGGGGATGCTTCTGTGGTTTTTTTGTACTCAATAAGGGACTTGGTGCTGAACCGAAGTTAGCAGTCTTAAACGCAAGGCCTACACCCTTAGAAAAAAAAAAAGACCTGATATTATGGTCCAAAAATGAGTGCACATTAAGCGGCTAACTTCTCAGCACTAAATTTTATGTTGAGTACAAAAAAAAAAACCATAGGGGCACCCTCTTCACAAACTCCATCTGTTTCCAAGTTCCACTTTCAACCAAGAGTAGGTTGATGTAATGATCGTTGTGGCGCGGGGACTCAGAAGAGAACGTATGTTAGATGTAGACAAAGCGGTGAAGCAGTAGATGAATCGGCCTAAACATAAGGTGACAAAGACTATCGAGATGGGGGATAAGAAGAGTCCTGCCAAGCACCCGAGGCCAGATGAAGAGAGAGAGGACGTTGACATGAAGAAGTATTGAAATGAAGAGTCGACGATGTGATAAGCATGCATAGCTCCAATCGTATACGAGACCAGGGCCTCAGAGTGAAGGAAATAGGGGTTTATATGAACCCTAAAGGATCCACCCCGGAAGAGGAGGAATATTCTCTCTTTCCTGGTGATGAAAACTCTAAAGACGCTAGACGGGGCGAATTAGAAAAAGTCGTTGATTCGGAAAAGGGAAGGAAAGGAAGGTATTTGTAGATTGGAATGTTAGATTTAGAGGAGATAGGTGCCTGACTTACTGTAGTGAGTCATGAAGAGGAAACGAACGTAACGTAATCATTGGCGATACGCACCAGGCAGGCCGGTGCGATCACGCGTTTTTGCACTCTTTCGTGCTAATAGCAAGATGGCTTGCAATCCCATTAGCTAGAATTTGTGAAATACTGGTCCTCGAGGTTCAGGAAGTTAATTATATAGCTATGTGACGTGTTAGCTGTCGATGTCGGCTTCAGTGACCCGCCAAACAGAAAGTTGCTGATGCGCAAAATGATGTTCCTACGAGGAACATCATTCACTTCTTGTAAGCACTGCTTTTGCTGCATCGGAAGCGAATATCGCCAGTTTTATTCTATAATGCAAATTTGCATAACTGTGGGAAGCATAGCCCGTATGCATAGTATGGTGTGAAGTGCAGGAGCCTGAAATGAACTTTCCCCTGCTAACTAAACTGATAGCTGAAATCAGTCCTGCGTAGCTGCGAAGAATTGCCGCGAATGAGTAAGTTATGCGTACTTCGTGGGCAGGGACCATCTTAAAATTTCAGCTTTCTGGCTTTTCTAATCCCTGATGTAACAGTTTTTCAAAATTTTTACGTGTCCCTACTTGAGACTAGAACGTGTTAGGGAGCTGAGTTTGGAATCTTTTGGTCGTACGTGAGTAAGGGACATTAAAAAGTTTCAGCTCTCTAGCTTTTTCCCTTCTTGAGTTAGCAGTTCTCCTGCCAGAATTTTCACGTGCCCGTACGTGAGACTGTGCGGTTTAGAGGAGCTGAATTTGAAATCTTTTAGCCGTACACGAGTCGGGAACATTCTTTTAAAATTTCGGCCTTCCAGCTTTTTTAGTTCCGAAGTTAGCAATTTTCCTGCCCAAACTTTCATTTGTCCGTACTTGAGACGTAGGCGCAAGTTATAGTTGATATCACGCTCCTGGGTTAGCAATTGGCCAAGAAACACTGGCAAAACTTTTGCATCAAACTTGCATAGTTGCTGAGTAAAAATACCCAAAAAGAAGAGTAAATAGACACACATACATACATATACACACACACACACACACACACAAACACACACGCATATAAACACACAGGGTCGTCACAATATGTGTTTTGCTATCTGTTCCAATGCTCTAGCGCTACACGGCAAAAACGAA